TTATTCTCTCTAATTTTCTTTTCAAGACTTGGTAAGGGTTTTTAATTTGTTGATCTTTAATCACCTCCCCCGTACCTACATTTTTTTATTGTAAAGATGTGGGATACAATTCAGGGTTAGGTATACAAACGTTGATTATACAGGTAATCTTGTTGATGAGGTGTGCCCCTCCCTCCCCTAGAAATTTCCCTCAACTGCCAATCTGCCCCCTTCCCCTGGCTGTTTCCCACTACTGCCAATCACTTTCTTATAGTATTATAATTGTTCAAGACCGCTTATGAGTGAGAACATATGATACTCTGTTCTTTGTTTCTGTGCTAGATCATGGAGTATGATCGACTCTAAATCCATCCAAGTCAAGTTGCTGCAAAATCCATATGTTTGTCCTTCTTTATGGCTGCATAATATTCCATTGTGTATATGTACCACATTATTTTTTATCCAGTCCAACTTCAGTGGGCAACATGGCTGGTTCCATGTTTTTGCTATTGTGAATAAAGTGGCAACAAACATACGTGTGCAGGTATCTTTTTTGTAGAATGATTTTAGTTCCTCTGGGTATATTCCCTATAGTGGAATTGCTAAGTCATATGGAAGGTCAATTTCTAGTTCTTTCGGATACCGCCACACTGTCTTTCAAAGAGGTTGCACTAGTTGCATTCCCACCAGCAGTGTAGAAGCGTTTCTTTTTCTCTGCATAATTGTGGGTTTGAATTCTTTGATCATCTTTCTATTTTTAAAAGTACATAGTTTCTTTATATGCCCTCTGTTTGTATGAGTTTGATTTTGCAAGATTTCATATAAAAGTAAGATCATGCAGTATTTTTCTTACTGTGTCTGGTTTATTTTTCTTAGCTTAACACAATGTCCTTTAGTTTCATCCATGTTGTTGCAAATGGCAGGACTCCCTGCTTTTTTAAGGCTGAATAATATTTTATACATATATGTATATATATATATTATATATATATATATACACATACACACACACACATATACACACATATAGAATCATATTTTTAAAATCTGTTTGTATATCAGTGGACCCACAGGTTGTTTCCATATCTTGGCTATTGTGAATTATGCTTTAATAAACATGGAAGTGCAGGTATCTCTTTGGTAGTGATGTTATTTCTGCTGAATACGTACCCAGAAGTGGGATTTCTGAATAATATGCTGGATTTATTATTAATTTTTTAAAGGATTTTTATACTGCTCTCCATAATGGTCATACCAATTAACATTCTCAAAAACAGTGCAGTGTTCCCTTTTCCCCACATCCTCACCAACAATTCTTTACTTCAGGTTTTGATTGTTCTTTGTTTTGTAACTAAAGTTACAAGTTGGCGTTGTTAATTTGGGATTTATTTTCTGACATAAATATCTCAAGCTACAAATTTCTCTCAAAGTCTTGCTTTAACTGCATACCATAGTTTTGATATGTTGCATATTCATTTTCAAATAGTTCAAAGTCATTTTTAATTTTCCTGATTATCTCTTCTTTGATTCATTGGTCATTTAAAGTGTGTTGTTTAAAGCACAGACATTGTTGTGTATCTCCAATTTAATTCTGTTTTAGTCAGAAACATGCTTTGTATTATTTTAGTACTTTAACATTTATTAAGGTTTATTTGTTCTCTGAGCCTCTATGTATTTTGCCATACCTAACATTCGTATGTGCTTGAAAAGGATGTGAATTCTTCTGTTGTTGTGGAGAATATTATATAAATGCCACTTTTGGTTCACAATGTTTTCCAAGATTTCTATTTCCTTGCTGCTTTTCTGTCCAATTGTTTTATCAATTGTTGAGATTGGGATATTGAAATTCCCAACTCTTATAATTATATATTTCTCTTTTTAATTTTTTTCAATGTTTTTCATGTATTTTAGGGATCTATTTTTATCTGTATATGCATTTATAATTGTTTATAACTTCTTGATACTTACCATTTTTCACTATAAAATGTCTTTCTCTCATATCTCTTGTCTTAAAATCTATTTTGTCTGATTTTGATATAACCACTCCATCTCTCATATGGTATTTTGTAGGGTATATTTTCTTTCCCATCTTTTACTTTCAATCTATTTATGCTTTTGAATTTAAGGTGTGTCTCTTGTATAAAGAATATAGTTATAACTTGTTTTTTATTCTGAGTAACAATATGTGCTTTAGTTATTCACTTTTTGATTATTGATATGAGTATCATAGCTGCCATTTGCTATTTTTTGTTTTTGTCTTTTTTGCCCCTGTGTTTGTGTTAAATAAGTATATTTTTATGAACCATTTTAATGCATCGCTTGATTTTTTGTACTATTTTAAACTATTTTATTAATGGTGTGCCATAGATTATAATATATGCATAAACATATAACTTACTTCAGATATTAACTTAATTCCAGTCAAAGTTAATATTTTTATTTTAATATATTTTCGTTTTCTTTCCCTTTTTGTGCTATTGTTATAATATACATACATACATATGTACACTTATATACCTGTGTATTATTGACCCAACATTGCAGTGCCATAATTGTTTCTTCATATACCATATTATTTTAAAGGCAATTTTGAGAAAAATCTTAAAATATATGTCTATAGAGTCCTTTAATATTTACCCATATGCACATATTGACTATTTCAGTACTGTTCATTTTTTCCTATAGATTACAATAGCTATCTGGTTTAACTTCTTTTCAGTTAGAACTTTGTATTAAATCCCCAGCTAGTCTACTGGTAATGGATTGCCCAAAAAGGCCTACAACCTAAGGGTAATGAAGCTGTTGTCCCTCCCTAGTTGCTTGCCACAAAATTGCCATGCTAACTGACAAAACTCCAAATAAAGGACACCGCCTCAGGAAGGAGGAACAAAGCTCCTGGCTTTCCTGATCTGACCACTGAAGTTAAGAGGTAGTAGAAATGAGGAGAGTAGATCCAGGCCCAGAATATCAAGAGTCTGGCTTTATTTTCCAAAACTCAGTCATTTTAATAAATAGGCTTCTACTGTTGAAGGATTCTCAGCATGCTGAAATGGGTGCTGAAATGACTGACAGTCTGTTAGCTTAATAGCTTCTTTTCTGGGGAGAGGATTTTTCAGCCTCCTCATTCTCTCATGCCAGATATGAATGTCTGTTTCTGTTTCTATCTTCTGTGGGATTAAGTTCTTTGTTGCATTTATTTTTCTCTTTTAGTTTGAAAGTTGTTATATTTTATTTAAAATTTTAACTTCATATCTTAGGATACACACATTTATAATTTTTAGTAAATGTTTAGGGTTAATTTGTATCTATATTTTTCTTCTGAGAATATAACTTAGTAAGTTTTCATTTTGCTTTTTTCTAGACCTCAATTTTCATGGTAACTTTGAGAGACCCAAGAGATTCAAAAAACTCTAAGAGAACTATTACTATATGAATTCCTACCCCATGTTCACTGTATTTGTTTGCAGTGTCTGTACTTAGAACTTTGTTAAGTTTAATTTTTGTTTGTCTCATAAAATAACCGATTGCTTCCGCAACTGCTGCTAGCAGTGTGTGAATGTTAAGCAATAAGCCCCTCCCAGACATTCCTTTGCTTAGATAACAGTAGACTGGTGGCACCAGCCATCCCCAGCCCGTAGGTTCTGCGTTGTTTAACCTCCTGCCTGCTTGCTAAACCTAGCTTATCTGACATTCCACCCTGCCCATTTAGCAGCTCCCCATCAATCACAGGTAGCTGAGCAGACCAGACCAATCCCAAGTGTCCCCGTACCCATTAGGAGAAATTACCCAATCATGTAAAAACAACTTTAAAGTTCTTTCCCCTCCCTCTGTAATTGTGCATAAAAACTGCTTGCCATACTGGATCGGGGCTCTCATCCCTGAAGCCACTGCCGGCTTCATATGTGAGCCCAGACTTGAGCCTGAATACAGACCCTTGTGTGTTTGCATCAGAGCTGGCTCTTTGTGGTCTCTCTCTCGGATTTGAATTCTGGGTTCAACAACTTTTTCTGAAATTTCTGTTTAACTTTGAGAGCATTTGGCTAGGAGAAGGAAGTATGACTATAGTGTGTGCTCAGTCTTTCTTGAAATTGTAAATAATATGTGAGTATGATATGTGAGGAGACACTCATGTTGGCAGTTATTTTGGAAAATCTATGAAAGATGATGCCATCAACTGATTTAGGGAACCAAGATGTCTCTCTCTCTCTCTCTATCCTATTATTGTAATTTCCTCTTCACTAGTTTCCAACTGAGGACTTGAAGAGGTTTTAAAATGAATCTGTTAAGATCTGTTTGGTATTATTCTAATTTAAAATGTTTGGGGTATGCAAGTAGAGATTTCCAGAGTAAGATGAATACAGAATGGTCTGGAAGAATTTAGCTGTGATTCATCGGTTTACAGAGTTTAATTGACATCATGAGAGTAAACAGAACCACTTAGGGAAAGGAAGAGGGCAAGGTAAAGACCCCTCAATACCAATTGTAGGGATAAAGCAAGGTGAACTCAAAGGTTAACTTTTGAGACAGAGAATTTTTTTAAGTAACCAAAGCTCATTGAGAAATAAATCAAACTTAGAAAGAAATAAGTGCCCCTTGATTTAGAAATAAAAGAATAATGGGTGACTTAATAAGAACAGTTAAGATGTAACAAAATGTAGAGTTGTTAAGGCAGCACAAATGTCAGATTGTCTGACACTGGGAAGAGAAAAAATATGGATATAGAGTATAGACCCTCGCTTCAGGCATTTATCATTAAGGAAAGAAGGTAATTAGGAAAACACTACAAGAAGAGGTAGGGTTTAAAAAAATAAGCAAACAATTTAGAGAATTAAGAGCCTCCCCTCCGAGCATTGAAGGCAGCTAGAAAAAATGCTCCAAGGCAAGGGATGATTACAGAAGACTATTAGAATGGATGTGTGCAACAAATGTATGCATAAGGAGGAAATGTGGATGGGGATGTGGATGAATGCTCAAGTCTGGAGTGGGAAGAGGCAGGTTATCTGAAAAAGCATCATGCAAATTTAGCACATGATTAAATAAATCTTTCTAATCAGTTTTCAGGTTCCAGAATTCAAAGTGGAATCCTGAACTATGTCAACATTCCCCATGCAGGCAGCTCCCAACAGCAGCACTTCAATGGCCCCCACATTCCTGCTAATGGGCATGCGAGGCCTGTCAACTGCACCCTCCTGGTGGATGATACCCCTCATCATTGTCTACATTCTCTCTGTCCTGGGAAATGGTACTATCCTCTGGATCATTGCTTTGGAGCCCACCCTACACCGTCCAATGCACTTCTTCCTTTTTTTGCTTAGTGTGTCTGATGTTGGCTTGACCACGGCTCTGATGCCCACCCTGCTAAGCCTTGCCCTTGCTGGTGCCAATGCTGTCCCTGCCTCAGCCTGCCTTTTACAGATGTTTTTTGTCCATGTCTTTTCTGTCATGGAGTCCTCTGTCATGCTCGCCATGGCCGTCGATCGGGCACTGGCCATCTGCCGCCCTCTCCATTACTCAGCAATCCTCACCAACGGTGTCATTAGCAAGATCAGCTTGGCCATTGCTTTCCGATGCCTAGGCCTTCATCTGCCTCTGCCATTCCTCCTGACCCACATGCCCTACTGCCATCCACAGGTCCTGACCCATTCTTACTGCTTGCACCCAGACATAGCCCGATTGGCCTGCCCAGGAGCTTGGGGTGCAGTCTACAGCCTCTTTGTGGTCCTGTCAGCCATGGGATTGGACCCTCTACTTATTTTCTTCTCCTACGGCCTGATTGGCAGGGTATTACTAGGTGTGGCATCCAGGGAGGATCGATGGAAGGCTGGTCAAACCTGTGCTGCCCATCTCTCTGCTGTGCTCCTCTTCTATAGCCCTATGATCCTTCTGGCACTGATTCATCATCTTAAGCTGCCAATCCCTCAGCATTTCCATACTCTTCTCTCTTATGTCCACTTCCTGCTTCCTCCACTGATGAACCCTATTCTCTATAGCGTCAAGATGAAGGAAATTAGAGAGAGAATACTCAACAGATTGCAGCCCAGGAAGGTGGATTGCGCTCAGTGAGAAGAAAGTCCTTCTACCTCTGGTGGTACAGGGCTCCTGATACAATAGTTTCTGTGAATGAGAATGCAGTTAACTGTGCATGAAATGGTCATTCAGGTACACATAAGTGCATATACATGGATGTAGATGCTTAGCCCTAGAAGTGTGTGCATGTTGATGAATGCTTACAAGTCCCAGATAATGAAAGTTATCCAACCTCTGTTGCACTACACACGTCAAAAATATAGAAAGTGTCAAATTCAAGTCTTGTCACAGTCATCCAAGGATACACCTGTTGTTTTATTGTTATTTATTCCCTCACTATCTCTGTACCTCAATAATGGAGAAAATTTGAGGTGCTGAATAGCCATATGACAAAGAAAAGAGAAAAAAGAAACATTCTAATAAACTGAATGGAAGACTTTCCTCTGGTGTTGAACTCTCTTAAGCAGAAAGAATTCTGACTGATCCTTAAGGATTAGATAAATATGGAAGATGCAAGTAGGTCTCTCATTTTGGCTCTTCACATCAAGAGAAAGGCTGTTTAACTCTGATCAAACCAGGGGAAAAAAGAGAGAAAGTAAATTTTTTTCATCTTTTATTTAGTTTTCAAAATGTTAGTATAAGTTTTTTAAATGTATGAATATTGAATATTTCTAATAAAAAAATAATAAATGTTTGAGATGATGAATATGCTAATTACCGCAATGATCTGATTATCATACATTATATGTATCGAAACATTACAACATACCCCAATAATGAGCAAAATAATTATTTATCAAGTAAAAAATAATTTTTAAAATGTCATGTAATTCAGAAAAATAGGCTAAAGTCACCTTAAATTATATAATTTGATTATAATTACCTTTTTAGCAAACATGCATAATATTTTATATAAATGGAATCTTATACTTGGTATTTGAAATTATCAGTCTCAATTATTTGTTTTCTAGTAGTAAGTCGTATTATACATCCATTCCCACATCATGAGGGTTGGAGTGGGCAGATTGTATTTATCTTCACATTAGGAGCTGAGATGCATGAATTACTCTGGTCAGTGTGGTCCTTATGACTTAATTTGTCAATAGGTTATCAGTGGATGTGATAAGAGCAGGAGTTTACATGTGATTTCAAAATGGGGTTTGACATTTTAAACTCAAGTAGTACTTCCCTAGTAAGCACTTTCCCTTCAAACTGGTTTCTAGAATGAGAAAAATGGTACAACTCCAAGCCAAATTTGCACCAGCCAAATGCCTGGTTCCTAGAGAACTGAAGCAGACCCAAGTCAAAGCAGCCTAATCAAACGGACCTCAGTCAATCTATTTACCAGCAAGCATCACAACAAATGCCTAGCTGTAAGCAACTGAGATTTTGTGGTCAGTTGGCAGCAAAAGTGACCTAATGCTGTGTAATTACAATTCTAGTTTATAAACATGGTTAGTTTTCTAATTTTTTCTTTATGTCAATACTATTATTAATATGCATATATGAGGAGGTTGCCTCGTTTGTAGCACAATAGCTGAATAACTTTTTTTTTTTTGAGTCTCATTCTGTCACCCACACTGGAGTGCAGTGGCCACTCCCAGCCATTGCAGCCTCAACCTGCTGGGCTCCAGTGATCCTTCTGCCTCAGTCTTCCAAGTAGCTGGAACTACAGGCGCGCACTACAACGCCTGGCTAATTTTTGATTTATTGTAGAGATGAGGTCTCGCCAAGTTGCCCAGGTAGGTCTCAAACCCGCGGCTCAGGCAATCCATCACCTCGGCCTCCCAAGGCCCCGGGACTACAGGCTGAGCCACTGAGCCCAGTCGAATAACTTTCTATATGTCATTCTACGTCTTGTCTTTCTTATAGTAAAAATTCCTCTAAGTCAATTGGTATGGATTTAATTTATTCAAATTGCTATATACTATGGTATGGATGGGCTGCAATTTGCTTAGCTGTTTTCTATTTAAGCTGTCTTTAGTTTTATGCCACTCCAAACAATGTTGTGCTAAACATTCTTATACAACTTTTCATATATACTTATGCTATTGCTTCTGACTGATACCCAGGTCATGATTGCTGGCTTTAAGGGACATTTTAAAAATTTAAGTATATATTGGTAGATTCCTTTCCTAAAAGTCTATATCAATTCATACCTTTAGGTAAGTAGGAGAATGCCTTTTCTGTATATGCACCAAAATTGACTTTTATGTTATTTTTAAATTTGTAACAATTTTATTAGTGAAAATTATCTCATTTTATTTTATTTTGAATTTTTCTAATAGTAAAAATCACTATCTTTTACATGCCGGTTGATTATTTTGTTTCCTCTTCCATGAATAGTTCATTCAAATAACCTTCATTTATTTTTCTATTAGGTTTACGTTTTACATGTGAGTTTGCAGAAGATCTTAGTGTTATGCCTTTTTCAATTTAATACTAATCTTTTACCATTTTTGGCAACCAACTCTCATGCAGTTTTATATAATTAAATCTGTCTTTTTAAAATATATAATCCTTCTGTTCTATATGTTGATTTTTAAAAGGTATTTTTGTCCCTTATGTTGTACATATAGCATCTCATGATTTTTTTCTACAATTACTATAGTAGATTAGACTTTTAAGTCTTTCTTTGTCAGAAGTTAGAATTCATATTAATCAAAATGAATATGTACTAATGACAGAATCATCTATTAAATACATTCTCTTTTATCACTGAAATAAAAATACTATGTATATAATTTTGAAAATTTTATATATGTGTACATATATATACATACATGCATATATGTATGTATGCACACTGCTTTACAGTTCATTTTATGGATGATCACTGACCTAGTACAGTAGCTTCATAGTGTTATTAACTTAATATGTGATAAAAAGTAATCCCTTTCTCACAAAACAAACAAAAGCTTTGGATTTCTAAGAGGAATTACATTATGTTTATAGATTAAACATAGGAGAATAAGCTTTAGTGATAATAATTTTCACATCCAAGAATATAATAGGTGTTTCATTTATCAACAGTTATTTTACATTTCTCAATAAAATTACTTGTTTAGGTTACCTTTATTTATAGATATTTTATAAATTACGATATATGTTGTTATTATAAGTAAAATATTTTGTACCTTACCTCAATACACCTTACCAAATTATATTTATTACTTTTTAAAAATTTTATTTGTAAATAGCACATATGTAAAAACAAGTGATAGATCACTTTATTCTAATATTCATACAAATTATTTTATTTTGTATTTAATTCACTAGAATCTCCAAAATAATTATGAAAGATAACAGTGAAAGTGAACATTTAACTCTTTGTTTTAGTTTTGATTAAAATGGCACGTTTTATCTGTTAGAATGATGGTTGCTACTAGGTTTTTAGGCAAAATTTATATTAAAATATATATTATGTTTCAATTTTATTTAGTTTTTAATAAGTTTATTTCTGAATCCTATCAAATGCTTTTCAGCATCCACTGATAATACTGATAAATGTACTGATACATTTGTAATTGCTTTAATGCATTAATACATTTCTTGATATGAAAACATCCTTGTTCTCTTGTGATTACAGAAGAATACATTTTAAATGAAAAGTAGTAAATTGAATCAATTTTGTGATAAAAAAGAATGCACAATGATATACTGGGATAGATGCCAGGAAAATCCTCATATTATATCAAACTCTTCTGCAAGGCTATAGTCTCAAATTAATTAGATGGTTGGTTTCTTCATATCACAAATGAGAATAATGAAGCTGAGAATTTAAGAATACTTCATCTATATAATTAACTAGAAACAACATTTATCTTCAGAATTGCCTTAAACCCAACCTCCTGCTCTAAATATCGACCTCCCATATGACCCCGCAATCCCCCTACTGGGAATATACCCTGAAGAACTCAAATCACTCTATAAAAAAGATACCTGCACATGTATGTTTATCGCAGCATTGTTCACAATAGCAAGAACCTGGAATTAACCATGCTGTCCATCAAAAGAGGACTGGATTAAAAAACTGTGGTACATATACACGATGGAATACTATGCAGCCATAAAAAAAGCAAAATCATGAATTTCGCAGCAACCTGGATGGAACTAGAGTCTATAATACTGAGTGGCCCCTCACAGAAACAAAGATCTGAGTATCACATGTTCTCACTCATATAGTGGACCTTGAACATCCATCGTAATTCTATAAGAAAAGGACTGACAGTGGTGGGAAACTATGGGGGAGGGGGAAGGGTAGTCAATATCTGTCTGGGGACGTGGAGACACACCTTATCAACAAGGGTGCCTGAACGAAACATATTTGTATACCTAATCCTTAACTGTACCCCACAATATCAAAATTTAAAAATTGATATAAAAAATATATATATTGGAAAAAGAAGCAGCTTAGTCTGAATAGAGAAGCAGCTTGGTCTTGAAGCAATAGTGATGAGGTCACTGAAAAACCTTGCTTTCCCAAAATCTATCTCTTTCTCCTCCCTGGTACACCCATATCCAGGTTTCATTTATTAATTGGAGGTAGAATAATGTGAACTTGAAATTAAGAGTTACACCAATATGGTTTTGGATACTCCTCTACTTCATGTGTGACTTGACATCATCCCACATTTGTAAAATAGGTATAAGCAAGATTACATGAAACTAAATACCTTCATTATAATTTATGAATTTGAGAGATATTTAATAAATGACAGTTATTTGGAATTAATAATGAAAATAATAATAACAGTATTTAAACTTTGTATGCACAATTCAATCTGAATAAAGAGCTTCACAGTTTACTTAAGCTCCTACCACCTCAGTTTGTAGACAGAAAACTGCAACTTGGACCTATTGAAATCCCTTTTGAATGGTCCTTTATAAGTCATTGGTAGATACTGAGCTAAAACCTAGCACCTCTCGCTGTCTACATGTGTTTAATACTCTGCTAAATTAAGGTAGTAGGAAACTGTCTCTTTCGCATCAGAACCTCAATTGCTTTCACTAGATTCTCAAGTCTCCTGGCTGCTGGGCCTACACCAATTCTGTCAAACCTTCAAGTGT